CCCCCCCCTCCCGGAGCGATGGGGTCGGTGTGGGGGGCGGCCCCGCCGCCTCTCCCTCCGCTTCCCCGGGATTTGGGGAGGAGAGGGGGGGCTGCCCCGGGGTGTCCGGCTGTGGGGGGAGGAAGAGGAAGGCGGCAGGGCAGGTGAAGGCCGGCCCTCCCCTTCCCCGCCTGTTTCTCCAGCCAAAATATCTATATTTCTAATTTAATTTTAATTTTTGTATTTTATTATTTTTTTTGGCCGGGTAGAAAGCTCGGCGGAGCCACCGGAATATCCCACCGCCGGCGGGGCGCGGAAACGCTCCAAAAAAAACCAAAAAACCCCCCAAAAACCAACCCAAACCCCCCCGCGGCACAAGAGCATCGGCGAGGAAGTGGAGGCGGTTTGGTGTGTGAGCCCTTGGGTTTGTGGAAAGAGAGAGAAAATCGAAATAAGAAAATACGGAGAGAAGAGACCGCGGGGAAAGAGAGAGAAAGAAAAGGGAAATAAAGCGAGAAGGATAACAGAAGGAAAAAGAGAAAGCGTCTGAGAAAAAAAAAAAAAAAGAAACAGAAGGAAAAGAGAGAGAAATGAGAGAAAAAGAAAGGGAGTGAGAAAAAAAAAAATTAACGAAGGCGAAAAAAAAAAACAAAAACAAAAAAAAGAGAAGAAGGAGAGACAGAAGGAAAACCAAAAGAAAAACGAATAAAAAATAAAAGAAGGAAAAAGAATGAAGGAAAGAAGGGATAAATGAACAAAATAAAAAATAAATAAAAATACAGAAGGTAAGAAAGAAGGCGGAGGAAAAAAAAAAAAAGAAGGAAAAGAAGGGAAGAATAAAAACGAACGAAGGAAAGAAATAAAAAGGAAAGAAATAACGGCGAGAATGGCAAAGAAAGGAAACGAAAAAGAAAGCGTGAAAGAAAAGCGCCGGAGCAAGCGAGAAAGAGGAGGGAAAAGAAAGAAAACAAAGAGAGAAGGAAAAAAGAACGGAAAGGGGGAAAGACAGAAATAATTAAAAAAAAGGCAATAAATTAAAAAAAAAGACAGAAATGGGGGAAAAAAGGGGCGAAGGCGAAGGAAGAAGGAGGAAGAGGGACCGCACCGATGGCGCCGCGCTCCCGCCGCGGCTCTGCCCGAGTTTGTCGGGGGCTCCGGTGCTTTTCCTGCGGAATTTCGGAGCCGCGGAAGGACGCGGAGCGGTGCGGAGCCGGCCCCCGGCTTTCTCCTACCCGGGGAAAGGGGCAAAAAAAATTTCGGGGAAGGGTGGGAGGGAAAAAGGAGAGCGGGGAGCGGGCGGGGGGGCCGGGGCTGGGCGGGGGGCCCGGCCCCGCTCCCCTCCGCC